TATGTAAGGAATAAGAAGTACAGATACTTGTGTTAAAATGTAATGAGCAGAAGTCAGAAGTAGGAAGAAAAATAAGTAATGGAGTAAAGTATTGTTAAAGAAAAATGATTATTTTTTAGACTTTATTACAGTTAATCTTATGGCATGTGTAAACACTCTCACTTGAACATATTTCTTAATTTTGAACAAGGCTGTGTTAATGATTTAAAACTACTAATGGGTAAGTATTTAGAACACAGGCCATAAGATGAGTATCTCCTGGGGGGTGAATAACAGTTAAGCCTGCAGGAGAGATTTCTGCTTGGTTTACAGAAGGTCAAAAGTCTTCCAGAATAAACAACCAGGGATGGTGAGGCCCCCCGCATTCCACAAGCTGTCTGTGAGAGCTTATCTTGTGTTTTATGACTTTAGGAATTCTAGATGCCAGGACAAGCTTTCCGCCTTTTCTTGTTAAAACAAAGAAGCAAATGACCCCAGATGTTTGCAGTAAATAAGGGGAAGCCCTAGCAGTGTCAGAGATGGCGTTTGGTTGGAGGACCGAGGGCCAGCCCCTTTTTGAATGGATTAGATACAAGAGGATAAAGCTTTCTAAATAGAAGAAAAAGATCAGATTTTCCCTTGCAACTCTCCAAAGATGTCTCTGTACTCTTTGCTTTCTTTCCTCCTATGTCAGGTAATGGAATGTATGTCTCTGTTGTTCTGCAGTTTCTGGTGTAGGTTTGTGCATTGTCTTATTTCTAAAGTGTATGCATTGTCTTATATGGGATTAAACTCTGTAATTCTGTGACGTCAACACGCAATGTTGGTTTTATTACCAAGCGCAGCTCGCCGAGTGGACCTGGGGAAGGGAAGAATCAGAAGCCAATCTTTTTCCAAAGTTAACTATGTTAGAATATTTTCTTCCTTTACAGTATAGATACCTAAAAAGTGTACTTAACTACAGTAACGAAGTACTTGTACAACTCTGATCTCTGTGAGCCTGGTAACTATTAAGAAATTTAATTTTGTTCAAATTTAAATCCAAGCTCCGACTTTACAGTTAAAAAACTGAAAAAATGTGGCCTTGATTAAAAAGGTAAAATAATCAGGTAGTATTTTATTTGTGTAACCAAAATGATTCCCGATCAGTCTGTAAAGGGTCCAGTTCCAATTTGATAAAAAAGTAAATAATTCATTAATATCAGGGTTCAACTAGCATGTGTGCTGTGGGTCGGAATTAATGTAGATGTCTTGTTTCCAATCAGAATATTCTCTGGAGCTGTTTTTTAGGCCCCGTCCACACGAAGCTGAGCCCTGGCCTAAACGCACAAATTTTTCACCAAACCAGCCTCTCATCCATACGAAGCCGGCGTTTCGGGGGTCTGTAAACGATCTTTTTTTTATTCAGCCTTCAGAGTGGGAAGATTTTGAAACGCCGTTTTCGCGTTTCCATCTTTAAGCTCTAACCGCATTTTTTTTCTTACACGCATGCGTCATAGCGTCGCTTCTAAACACGCATGCGCGACACAGTATCACAACAACAATGGCGCCGTACTGTGTTGAATGGTTGCTGCTCATGCTACTCACCCTGCTGTCGGGCTTACAACAGAATCTTCTTCTTCTGGAATATCTCCAGGAAGAACAGAGCAATATCGACCACATAGTTCAGCACCTGAATTTGACTGAACCAGAAAAATAGACCCGCAGGGCAACCATGTATAAATATTAGTGCGCATGCCCAACATTTCGTCGCCTATTTTTGTTTTGGCACCACAGCGCCACTTACAGGCCTGGCATACATTTTGCAGCGTTTTCATGCAATCGTGTGGTCGATCACATTTATTTTACGTCTCCGTCTTTACGACAAACGTTCTGGAAAATATTAACGTTTCGTGTTCGTTTTGACTTCGTGTGGACGGGGCCTTAATTGTCAAAAAAATCTAATTCTGCTGTAGTGAAGGTGACCTTTTGGCTTAATAAGAAGAACATTTCAATCAATTCACAATTATTCCAACTCCTTGAAGGTAGAACATTCATTCAAAACAATTTGTTATGCAAGTAAGGTTTTGTTCATTATGGGTCACAGCTCTAACATAGCTGTTAGCTCTAATCCAGCGGGGAAATTACCCCCAAAAGCTCCTGTGTTTATGACATTAGAGCTGTTCCTTACCACTTTTTAAGATTATTTTATTGCATTTTCAGAAGAAACCCACAGACCTGTTATAAAAATCCAGCTTGTATCTACTAAGGCAGGGGTCTTCAATGTTTTCCAAGCCAAGGACCCCCAAACTGATGGCGAGATGGAGCGGGGACCCTCTAATTATATATACTGTATGAAATTGTGTTATATCCAACTGGTCCTATTGTCACTCTATTACATGGAGTCATGTAAACAAAAGTAATTTGTCCCTGGGATTATTAAAGTATTTCTGATTCTTATTCCTGGTTATTGGAACAGGTGTTGTGAATGAAACGGTGCCCAGCTTGAAAGAGCTCCTTTGTGTCCCTGAATGTGTCCATTGATGACTGAAAGACATCTTCTGCCTCCATTTATCTGTTTACTACAGTTCACTGAATTCATGTTAATGTGGATTTAAAGACATTTCAATTAGTGGAAAAAATTACAGGGGGGAACACAGGCGTACATTTCTGAGGGACTGGTGTGGACATGTCCCCATCAATAATTTCCAATTTTTTCCCCTTTTCCGCTCAATTCATGCAGCCAAAGGTAACAAAGGTTGGGTGCAGCTATCTGTGTTCAGAGCGTTTTGAGTCTCTCTCTTGCGCTGCTCCCGTGTCCCGCCTCTCGGTCTAACATCATCAGATCTGTCGCATTGAGACACCTGATTTGCGTAGAGAGTAGCTACTTGGTTGGAGGAGAGACACACAGCAGCACTCAGTGATGTTTAACCTACAGCTACTGCGATGTTTAAGTAAAAGTTAGGAGACAGGTTGGTTAAAAAAAATTTGTGATCATACCACTGAACAAATCTGTTTGACATACAGCTAAAAAGTGCAACAGATTATAAGTTTATACAAGTTAGTATTATAACGCAAGAAGCTTGAGAAAAATAGTTTGTTCTTCTTTACTATAAAAGCTGGGCAACTCAGAGGACCATGACTCCCAGTTACAGGTTAAAATTAACATGTTTTCGTATTGAACAGACAGAAATTTAGTTTCTGGCATCATTATATTAGTAAATATTAGTAAATAGGTTCATTAAACAGCAGAGAGAGAGAAGTAGGGTGAGCTGCAGATTTAAAGGTGAGACAGATTGACTGGGATATGCAACATGCAATAAAATATAGCTCCAAATTTACCAGAAAGTTAATGAGAAAGAAATATGCTATGCTACATTTAAAATGAAGCATATCCATATTGTTCTGTATGGATGCGATTGAAATTCTAGGAATGCATGATATATCGATGTTGGCATCGGAATTGGCTGTTATTCATTATTTGTGCTATACATTAATGTTTTCGGGTCTTATATATGTAATGCAAGACATCTCTATAACTATCTATAAATATAAATATCAGTGTATTATGGTTCTCTTGTGTTGTCAACAATAGGAAAGCATTCGATAAATATATGTTGGAGCTCATTTTTGGAAAATACAAAAACCTAATGAAAGCGTTCGCAAAGCAAAACTTTCTTGTCCCCCATGCAGTACCTCTGTGGCCCCCCTAGGGGTCCTGCACCCCCTGTTGAAGACCTTTGCTGAACGTGATTATCGATAAAGATTGAATTTAAACTATATTAAAAAAAATTTGTTTTATGCAAATATGGGAATCCCACGTATAATAAAAGCACACAGCGCTTGGCGCCTGAGCACCCATAAAAAAATCTGAATTTAGGATCAGCATTTGGGGCAGAGCGCAGAGGCATAGCCAGAAAATTTCTATAAGGGTGGCCAGTCAATGAGCAATGTGCACTGAGGGGTGGCGGAAAGTTGATAGGTGCCAGAACCTCACGGTCAATCTAGAACAGGAAAATTAACAAGCACAACATCTATAGTTGCTAAATAAAGACAAACTATACTTTCCTACAACATTTGCTGACAAACAGACACATAAATATATAAACATCTGCGCTTTCTAGATAAAAGGTATAGTGGATGCAATTCTTTCAGGTTTGAGTTTTGGGAGAACATTCTTTCCATTGGCATTACTTACCTACTTTTATTAATAATCAGCATAAATCAGCATTGAACTGATATTTACAAGTACTAATATCTACATAAATTGATTATTTAATACGTTTTATTAAAATAGTTATCAACAGTTTCACTGAAGACTCCTAGATGACTTGCAGAGACACACACTTTTCTCTTTACCCTTTAAAACACAAAATCTAATTCTGAAAAGAGCATGAAATATTAATATTAATATTAAATATTCCACTTGAGTATTACTGCTGCCAACATCTGTGTTCGAAGGGGAAAAAATAGTAGGGGTGGCCAATGATTGGCTAAAGTGGGCCATGGCCACCTCTGGCCCCCCATTTTGCTCCGCCCCTGGCAGAGCGACCACATTTTTATATTGATGTTTTATAACCCAAACCAGCAGCCTGCCCTTTCATAGCGATGGGTCATCAGTGTCTGGGAAGCTCAGGATGGATGCTCTCAGCCTACTAGATCCCCACCAAGGCCTGTTTACATCGCTAGCCTGCTAGCAGCATTGTATAACTGAAGTCATGCTTGGTTAACACACCTGCACCAAAACAGAAATAAAGCTAATTTCTATCAACGGTTGATAGAAATTAGCCCCCGCGAGACAATGGGGTCGTTTCCAGCTCTTAAATTGGCTAATATTAGCATTTAGTATCAGCTAGCGGAGGAACGCAAACTGTCATGGCTTGGCCAGCGAGCTAATGTCCCTCCTGTTCCACAAAACCGCATTGGCATGACCACAGAGCTGGGAAACAACGACGACAACCATCACGGATTAACGCGCCCCGGTAAAAGCCACAGAGCTGTGTTATCCACAAAGCACAGTTCTTACGACATGTCGTACTTACAACATCGGCGATAGGGTCCGTCTATCCATTGAACTCGCTGGTAATGTCTGATAGCAACACAGAAAACTGTGACATAAACGGTTTTCAATCGATGACCCAGTTTCTGTTCGCCGTCATGCCTGTCGGACCACTAACCTAGTTTTTCGACCAATCGGGTTCGAGATTCCGGCATCGGCATCCCATTAGCTAATCAGATGTGAGATCGGGCTGGGAAATTGTGACGGACGCGGAAGCTGACCAATGGTGGGTCGATTAGAACGGAATGCAGAAGTCAGTTTGTGTGTGAGCGTGTTACGGAAAACACAATGCAAACAGGCCATTTAGCTGGCGCTGTGCCCGATAACCCTGATTATCATTTTTAGTCTTTAAATAGACTGAATTATTGTGTTCTTATATACTTTATGGCCACAGCATATATGAATAGTTTTTAATATATTTTGGATTTTTATTCTTCTTATTTTCACCTTTCATTTAAATTTTATCTTAAATGTAAAATTAAATTTTTCAAATCTTAGTATTTCTTGGGTTTTTTTTTTTTAATGCAATGTTTGCCTTAAACATTTAAAGAAAAATATTTATACAACCAATGCCTCATTTGTTTTGTCCTTATCTTGCACATCTACGCCCTCTACTGGACAGAATTTGCATATACTGTGAATGTCTCCTGCAGATGTGATTTTCTTTTTGCATAACTTTCTTAAGTTTCATTTTCAGAAAGTGAAAAAATATAGTAATAAATATTACAGATTTACGGAAGAGGATTAGGGCCACTGGAAAAGAAAAGTGAACAGATTTGTACATTTTATGTTAGTATAATATGAAAAAGTCAGAATTCTGACTTTCATCTCAGAATTCTGATTTTAATTTCAGAATTTTGACTTTTTTCTCAGATTTCTGATTTGATTTGATTCTCAGAATTCTGACTTTTTTCTCACAATTCTGACTTCAGTTTCAGAATTCTGACTTAAATCTCAGAATTCTGGCTTTTTTTCTCAGAATTCGGACATTAATCTCAGAATTTTGAATCTTAATCTAAATGGGCACCATGAAGGAGCACTCAGCTTCACTGACAAAGATGTGAGTTGTTTGGGAGGGCCAGTAACACATTTGTGGAAAATGACTGAATTGGGCGACTTTTTACGTGCCAGAGGGGTCCCTGGTGAAGCTATTTCATTAATGGAAGAGCAGAAGGTGATTAAAATAAGAGAGATAGTTTAGTCTCTAAAACAGACATGGCTACGGCTTGATGCTAACATGCAGAATTCATGATGTAACATAATAAGCTGTTAGAATTCAGCAAGGATTCTAAGATCAAGGTCAAAATTCTGAGATTAAAGTCAGAATTCTGACTTTTTTTCATATTATACTGAAATAAAATTAAAAAATCAGTTAACTTTTTAAAAAAATTTTCATTGGCCCTAATTTCCTTCCGTACAGATTTCCTTTTACTCGCACCTTTATATTCAACAGAAATTCAAATATACCTGAAATAAAGATTTTTTTCCTCTGTTCTTTAGTACATCGTGTTCACAACATTGCTCTGTATCTGTTTTATAACTGCATTGGCATTCAAAATAAAAAAAAAATTAATATTTTGATCGTTAGTATTCTTTAATGTTATTAAATAAGTATTAGTAAAATGTTTATATATTTCATGTTATTCATAAATAAACTTTTCTTCAACTTTGTATTCCAACAGGGCCAGCCTGTAAGCAAATTATTGCTTAAAGCAACTAGCCCAGGACAAATAGGGGCCCCAAAAAGGACTTTCGAATGTATTATATAATCATAACAAGAAAAACGCTAATTCATGACAATTTGTGTATTTTTTCATCATTTTAACTCATATAAATAAAAAATAAGTATTGCCAGATTGATACACAAATGAGGAAGGATGAGTGTAAACCTATCAGAGCCTAATTTATCTTTAGAGAACAGACTGAAAGTGATGAGAGTGCACTGGGTTCAGAAAAGGAAAACCTTCCAGACACCCTAAAGCACAGATGACCTCATTAACCCATTTACCTTCTGAAAAGGAGATCTGATTTCTACTGAAATCTTTGGGTAGCTCTGAGGACGGCCTGTAGTCTCCCTGTGACTGTTGCATCTGCAGAGCAGAGCTTTTCCAAATTCAAACCGAGAAAGAACTAGATGAGGTTTTCCATGGTAGAAGAATGATTGAGTGATAATTAACAGCAAAGCTCTGTGTCAGATTTCTTAAAGTGATCCATGTCATCCATGACTTTGGAAACAGAAAAGCTTGGATCAAGAGTGAGTAGAGTATGTAGGAACAGAGCAGTAACATGAAAAAGTAGTATGTGCAGGCAAAGATATGTTATATTTTAAATACGCTTTGGCATATAGTTACAGACATTCACATGTTTAAAAAAAATATTTATTCAGCTTCAAATTTAATTTCCATTTCTACCTGCTGCGTTCTTTGAACTAACGATCTGCAGTTGTTTTTAGAACAGGCTCTTAACAATCCTCTTTCCAGATCTACACTAAGCTCCTTAAACGTATCCACTGAACATCCAGTGACTGCTGTCAAACATCCTCTTTTATAACAGCCAGAGAAGCTGCGTACCGTTAGCAGTGATCTCTACTGGCAGGTTAAGAGGCTTAGGCATGAAAAAAGACTTTTTGCAACATCCTCTACCTCTTGGTTATAAATGTGTCTTGGTAATTTAGAAATATATTAATAGTTTCCTCTGTGTTATATTTTCAAAATGCAGTGAAAGAACCACACACTTCAGTGTAATTTCGTCAGATTTGATGTAACTAACTATACAAAATATGCGCGTGACTGCGGACGTAGAAAGGAATGGATGCATTTTATTATTAAACTAAATATTGTTTGAATAAAAAAGTTATTTTGGATGCAGCCGGGGAAGTTTTAATTTTTTCATTTGCCATAAATGGTTATGGGAAACTATCTCAGTAATTGTTATTGTTTTTCAAAGACTATGAAAGAAGAATAGATCAACCATGATATATTATTGTTTTGAATAAATCTGTCTATCATAAACTAATTAATCGTAATTTAACCCAAGGGCGTAGGTTTGATTTCCACTTTGGTAGGGACACTATTGGTCTGATGTCATTGGTCTTTTGCAAAACATGCTCTTTTTTATGCTTAATGTGAGCATCGGGGCACATTTTGTTTAAAGAGAACAGCAGCATTTCTTGCTACATTAATACAAATCTTATAAGCACTACACACACTAGATGCTGTTTGTCAATGTTTAAAGCATCACTGGCTCTGATGAATGTGGAATTAGGACTTTTTTCCACTTTGAAAAGCTTTGTATTTAAACTTACCAGGGCCTGAGACAGTGTCTATTTAACCAAATATAGTCTAAATATGTTAATTTTTCCTGTTTTCTTTTGAAGATATAGAATTGTGCAGAGGTAAACAGAGGTAAACTCCACTCTTATTTTTTATCTAATATGCTCTCTCTGTATCATGCAAAATAATACATTTAAGGGAAGGTAAATAAATGTATTGTATTTACATAAGCACTGGAACTCTAAGAGGAACTTACACTGAGCATTAAAAATGTTAACTTCACTATACAAGTTATACATCTGGGCTGTAGTTACTGTGTGTAGCCCATTACATGTATTTTATCTGAGGCTGAAACAATTAATCATATTAATCGATTATATAAATAATCGTCAACTAATTTAGTAATTTTTATCGTTAGCTGGAGTATAGGGCCACTAAAATATGCCTTTAGCCGACAGAGCGACCCACTTAGAGCAGGAATTATACCAAGATTGTAAAAATATGTAAACATTTTGCATTTGAGATAAAAAAAAAACCAAATTTTCTCTTTTAATGTTCTCCATCCAGAACTCCTCAAGAGGAAAAGTTTCTGTTTCACCTTGTTTCATTATGATTAGAGCCCATATGCAAATAACAGAGTATTAGGGCCAGGCTAGAGATTTTTATTTTTTTAGGAATAAATTCGTAACATTATGAGAATAAAATCGTAGAATTACGTAAATAAAGTCATAAAAATAAAAGAATAAAGTTGCAACATTACAAGAATAAAGTCTTAATATTTTGAGAATAAAGTTGAAAAATACAGAGAATGAAGGCATCATACCGACCAGCATATGATTTTAGACAGATTTATTTTATCATTTTGTTTACACAAGTTTAAAACAAAATGAAATTTCGTTAAGAACAGCTCTCTAGACAATTTCCTTTTTTTTAAGTGCAGCCTTGAGACCAGTTAAAAAGTACATAAAAACAGTAATATAAACATAAATAAAATAAAGTAATATAAACATATGACTGTATATTTACAGTTCTAACATTTCAGTTTTTTTTTTTTTATAAAATATAATAAAATACAATAAAATAACCCATTTAACAAAACATTCAGCAGTCTAATGGCAGTGGGGAAGAAGCTGTTCTGGGATCTGCTGGACCTGCATCGGATGCTTCGAAGTCTCTTCCCAGAGGGCAGCAGGGAGAACAGTCCATGGTGGGGGGGTGAGGGGTCGTTTATAATGCTACAGGCTCGGGAAACGCAGGAAATGTCTTTAATGGAGGGAAGAGGAGCCCTGATGATCCTCTCTGCTGTTATCGCCACTCTTTTCACTTTCTTTTAGTCTGAGGCGCTGCAGCCTCCACACCACACAGTGAGACAGCTGCTCAGAGCGCTCTCTATGGTGCTTCTGGAGAAGGTGGGGAGGATGGGTGGGGGCAGGTGGGCTCTCCTCATCCTCAGCAAGAAGTACATGCGCTTCTGTGCCCTTTCGACCAGTGAGGTGGTGTTTACAGTCCAGGTGAGGGTGTCTGTGATGTGCACCCCCAGGAATTTGGTGCTGCTGACCACCTCTACAGCTGAACTGTTGATGACCAGTGGAGCGTGGTTAGGCCGGTTCTTCTTGAGGTCCAAGATGATCTCCATCTTCTCCATGTTCAGGATCAGGCTGTTATCTTTGCACCAGTCCACTATCTGCTCCACCTCCTCTCTGTAGTCCTGGTCGTCTCTGATGAGGCCCACCACTATGGTGTCGTCTGCAAACTTCACGATGTGATTGGTGGTGAACCTGGGGACGCAGTCGTGTGTCATCAGGGTGAACGGAAGGGGGCTCAGGACGCAGCCCTGAGGGGAGCCTGTGCTTAGGATGATGACATCAGAGGTGTTCTGTCCAACCCGGACTGACTGAGGTCTGTTGGTGAGGAAGTCATTTGCAGAGGGGTGTATTGAATCCCAGCTGTTCCCGTTTGCCGATCAGATGCTGTGGGATGATGGTGTTGAAAGCAGAACTGGAGTCCAGGAACAGCATCCACACATGGGTGTTGTTCTCCTCCAGGTGTGCCAGGCTCAGGTGGAGAGCAGCAGATGGCGTCCTCAGTGGAGCGGTTGCATCGGTAGGGGAACTGGAACGGGTCGAATGTGGGCGGCATATGATGGCCAACCAGCTCCACCAAACAGCCACCTGAGTCCAGTCTGACATCCTGTCCAATTTAATGCTGCAAGGCTAAAAGATTGAATTATTTGTTAAACCAGAGCCAAAGTATAACTTCACATGATGCTCCACATTCCTCATTTTAGGGAAGAAAGTGCTTCTTGTGAGAGTTGTCATAAAATACAACTTTATTCTTGCAATATTAGGACTTTATTCTTGTAACTTTATCACTTTATTCTCATAATATTAAGGTTTTATTCTAAAAAAAAAAAAAAAAAAAAAAAATACAAATCTCTAGCCTGGCCCTAAAACTTTGTCGTATGTACACACCCAAGATCTTTGAAGTAAAATAATCGCCACTGCATTTGTCCAACACCACTGTAACATTTTCACTTTATGCCAAACCTTCATCCACTGGGACTAAACTTAATTTGCGGATGAACATGCCAACCCGCCCTCTATCCCTGTAGCAAAGGAGCGTTAGCATATGGTGCTGAGCCCTTAACTTAACTAATATGACCACCAAAAATAAAAGAATGGATACAAAGATTAGATGGAGGACATGATGGAAAAAATGCATGAACAGACATGAATGAAAAACTGAGGGGAAATAAATGTGAGCGGCAGCGACAAAGAATAGCTAAAGCTAGGGAAGAGCAGACATGGCCTAATTGTTTGACACTTTTCCAGGGGATTCTTTTTTATTTTTCAATTTTATTTTATTTTTATGCTTAAAGGGATCCCACATGAAACAATGACTAAGTGTTTGCAGCATAACACAGTGATTCCCAACTGGGAGTACGCGTAACAATAGTGGTCCGCCAGTGCATTGGAAGGGGTCCATGAAAATATTTTATGTCTTAGGTTGTAAAATAAAATGGGGATTGGTTTTAATTTGTAAGGACCCAATAGAAAAATGAAACAGCTTTTTTATCAACCTAAAAGTACATTTTTCTTGTTGCTGTTTTTCACACTGAGCTATCGGCGCTCATCAAAGCAGCTCAGGTGTCTTGATGAAAACAGCTAATTAAGTCAGTCTGACCATGATTATTGTTCTGAATTCTGTTCCAAATTCATCGAGTTTAAATGTGATTATAGGGGAGTTACTCAGAGGACCTCCAGTTTTAAATATACAGGTTTTTAATATGATTTAATTTCGTATCTTGCCTTCTTCTAACTTCTAGGGAACATATTTATTTTTTTATTTGAGATGGAGTGAATAAAATATCTAATAATTACATTTTCAGTATATCTCATTATCCATGAGATAACAAACCAATATGACACAAAGACATACATCTGTAGTTTTCTTTTTGTTGATGAATTAACAAAATGTTTCCTGACTTAAGGGACCAAAAGTACAAAGAGTTCTGTTTTTCTTAAATTTAGATGATTAGCTTTTTAATTATCTATCTATCTATCTATCTATCTATCTATCTATCTATCTATCTATCTATCTATCTATCTATCTATCTATCTATCTATCTATCTATCTATCTATCTATCTATCTATCTATCTATCTATCTATCTATCTATCTATCTATCTATCTATCTATCTATCTATCTATCTATCTATCTATATTAGGTCATTAACATAAAACAAAGATCTTTACAGGAAGGTGAAGATATCTTATTACAATAAGGGTCATCAGTTAAAAGGCCTCTCTGCTGCACTCTGCTGGTCAAAGAGCAGAAGTGCAGGTTAGGAAACTTAAAAGCAGCATTATTCACAACATACAGTATATTGATGAAAATTGTCATTGCTAATCTCAAATTGAGAACTTTTGCCCTTCCTTACTAGGTGGCTTTCTCTCATGTGAAGCCAAATGTTTAATAGTCTTTAACTGAAGAAAAAGCCTTAGCTATAATGGTACAACCAATATTACACTTCTTGTTATGAGGAAAGGCTATTTGGTTTGTTATGGCAGGGTTTCACAACCTTTGTTGACTTTAGTACCTCTTTGGGCATTTTGCCAAAACAGTCAATTGATTGATTGACTGACCTTATTCATCTTACAGTGGAGAAATGTGCATGGGAGTATATTCAATATATATATATATATATATATATATATATATATATATATATATATATATATATATATATATATATATATATATATATATATATATATATATATATATATATATATATATATATATATATATATATATATATATATATATATATATATATATATATATATACTGTACAACCAACAATGCTAGCTCTGTATCAACCATATGTCTACCGTCACTTTACCTGTTATTATTGCATATCTATTGTATACTTCACTCATATTTATTTAACTCTGCAATAATTTATACAATCAATCATTTGCACAGAACTTTACTGTTGTCACTCTATACCAGTGTTTGCAACCTTAGCCTTAGCCATTTAACTGTTCACACCAAGTGTGATGGCCTTGTCTGTATATACTTAATATATGTTTTCTATATATTTTTAACTTTTTTTTATATATATATATTTTGTATTCTTTCTTTTTTTCCTACTGTACTGTTCACTGTGATGCAACGCTGCAATTTCCCCATTGTGGGACAAATAAAGGATTATCTTATCTTATCTTTTTGCATGTTCTCCCCATGCATGCGTGGGTTCTCCGTACTCCAGCTTCATCCTACAGTCTGAAGAAAAAGGATTTTAGGTTAACTGGCATCTCTAAATTGTCCTTAGGTGTAAGTGTGTGTGCATGGTTTTATTTTTTTTTGGGAGTCTCTGTGTTGCCCTGCGATGGATTGCCGAGCTGTTCAGAGTGTACCTGCTGTTTGCCCCATAGACTGCTGGAGATAGACATCAGCCCCACTATGACCCCCCACAGAGTAAGCATGAGAAGATGGATGGATGGATCATTACATTATCATCACATAATGGAAAATTATGAACTTTATCACAATATGCTAATATTTTGAGAAGAACCTGTAAGTTGGAAAAAGCCTATATTATTGCAGTTATATTAAGTTACCACTAGATGGCAGTGTCTAACAAAAATAACAGAATATTAAAATCGTTTATTTTTTTATGTCTAAACTGATGTCTGTCAATTCCAGGAATGAAAAAGCTTAATACAAACATAAAAGCAACACGTGCCGTATATGATTAGATTTACTTCAATGTTGTTTTTTAATTATATTTTAATCCATCTGTGATTAATGTCCAGGTTGTCCTGGTCTTTTAAAGTTTTAATGGTTGTGTTTATTTTAATTTGCAATTAAAAATGCCCTTAATCTTAGTATTTTGTTTTAGTTTACGAGCATACCTAATGAATGACATCCATTTATTTTATTTTCCATCCTGTGGACTTTGGTGCGATGCTTTGTCAGTATTTTACTGACTGTATAGATCTGTGTGGAATAACAGCAAGAGTAATTCATGCGGAAGAGGATTAAGGCCACTGATTAAAAAAAAAGTTAACTGATTTTTACATTTTATTTCAGAATAATAATAAAAAAGTCAGAATTCAGAGATTAAAGTCAGAATTCTGAAATAAATTTGAAAAGTCAGTTAACTTTTTTTTTTTTTTCAGTGGCCCTAATCCTCTTTTGTACATTCATGTATGTACATATATGTGAATTTTTATATGTATGCTTTTATGTGTATATATATATATATTTGTTTGTTTTGTTATTTCCTCTTTTGGCTCCAATAAAAAAAAAAAAAAAAAATGCACTTAACCATTTCTTTTTTCTAACTCGGAGCTCAACAATAAAAAGTCCCTACAATCTAAACATATTAGTTTTTAGTTTTGTTAACTACCCACAATAAAAACGTGCAGCACAAATTCAAAACATTTTGTTCCAACTCTCATTTATTTACTTTACTTTAAATGTTTGGTTTTAATTCAGATATTTCGGTTTAAAGAAATATTTGGAGTTCTATACAAGTTAAGGGTGCTGATAAATCCGAGCAGTCCGTGAAGGCGTCGCGCCTATCACATGGCAGGTGATGTTAGTACAGAGACGCGCTCACAGCGGCGGAGCGACGCTCAACTGTACATTCAGGTCGGACCAGCTTGTGACATCTGGGCGTGATAGGGCCACGCGTGGCCGAGTCGTGGAGCTGGCCTTCTCCCACCAACATCTCTGGAGGTTTCCTAACGACAGAATCTCCCAGGACTCGGCTTTAGTGAGTTCAATTTGACTATTGTGGAGGTTTCTCTTTACTTTTGGTTGTTTTAGGAGTAGCTGCTGGTTTATTGCAACAACAAAAAAATATATATACAAGAAAAAACAAACAAACAGGAGGAGTTTATAATGTTGCTTTAAATCTTTGCTTTTATTGTGTAATTTAACCTTTTTTTTTTAAACTTTATTAGGTTTCGTGGAGCCAAATGAAGCCTGCATATTTCATATTCTTAACCATAAAAGAGCTGATCATTTGCTACAGCTGTTTTACTTTAGATCTAGGCTATTTACTGGCCAGGGATGTTGTGCAACACAAAATAGTCACATGACGCCTTTAATTTCTGCTTGACAGCCAATTCAACTTGTGGACATGCTCCAGGAAAGCCAGCACTTTGCTTTGTTTTGTGTTTCAGTTTTCTCTCCCTCCACTTGCTCTGTCTTTTTCTGTCAGCTTGGATCTCTCATCCATTGCCTCTCAAAAGCCCCCAGGCTGTGTTAATGCAGACCATCAATTTCTGACATCATGAGTTGAAAGACATTGGGGGAGGAATCTATTGCTGCTGATCTGCTCATCACTGAAAATCAAGGCTTTATGTGTGGCTCCCCTCAGCTGTAGCATCTGCTGCATCTAACTCTGCAAACACACAAACTAACAGACATGAATGCAGGCATGGACACCAACATCAGAAAGGGCCGACTTGAGAGAGCTAAAAGACCCTTCTCACTGTGAATGCAGCCGGCCGGTGCCTCTTTCTGGTGCAAATCTCATTTAAAAAGAAGAGAGTTGAAAGGCATCATTGCTGCTCACAACAGTGAATTGATTAAGGCTCCTCTGGTTGGCACTTGGGTGGCATTAGCACTCTGAAATGAGAGGAAATAAAAGCTGCAGCCTGGGTGAAGAGGCAATTGATGAAAAAAACCCAACCCTAAATGATAAAAGAAAAGTAATGTCTTCAAAGTGTTTACTCAATCAGAAATACGAACCAAACTGAGTAGTTTTTTAGGATGGTGCCATTCATATGCATGCAGCAGATGATGGCACTCATCCCCCTGATCAAAGCGGGTCGTGTAATTCCAAGTGTTCATTTTGCTCTGCAGCCGAATTGGATCTGGTGGTTTCTCTGTCAACTGCTGTTCCTCGCGCCGTGACTGTGGGTTCAGCAGATATCTTTCACTGCTGCTCTATACCAGCCAGGAATAAAGCTGAGGAGACGGAGATGATTGGAGGATGCAGAGAGATGTCCAGGAGATTAATGCAATGAGAGGGAGGGGAAAAAAAAGACCTTTAGCTGTTAGGATACAAAGAATGATAATTGACTTACTTTGTTCATAAAACAGGAGACATGTTTTATGCATGGAAATGTAGTAAAGCAGAAAAAAATGAAAGTTTGTTAGTTCGTTAAGGATGTTTTTTTTTTTATATCACTGTAAATAAGGAAATTAGTATGGCTGAATTGATTACCGTATTATCCGGACTATAGAGCACACCTCAATATAAGCCATACCCACTAAAAAAACCCACAAAAAAACTGGAAACGTAAATATGTAGAAACGTAGTTATCTCCTGAACTGTCTCCCACCACACCTGTAGGGGGAGCTCTACATAAAGCCCCTGGAGTAGGGACAAATAGGAATGCTAGCTCTCGTTAGCTTGTTGTCTCGCAGCAGTAAGAGCTTCTAATGAACGATGGGGCTTCGTCAGCTCTTTATTTTTAGCTCTTCAGGAATTGAGCCCAGTCTTTTCATTGGTTCTGCAGCTTTAAAGAGGCAATAAAAAATTTCAAAAAGTGTGAATTCGAGACATTTGTTTTCAGCGTACCTGCTGCTAGCATGTTCTTGTGCTAAATTGAAATAAGTCCCTCATTCTTTTATTTAGAGCTTTGACTTCCCTCTCTCGTTAGGAAAAATCCACAAAAAAGCTGCACTTTCTTATAAGCTGCATGGTTCAAAGCATGGGGAAAAATGTAGCGACTTATAGTCCGGGAAATACGGTAATTGGATTAATGATTTATCAAAGTAGTCATCTAATCTGGTAATAAAATCTTTATCTTTGCTGAAGTAATAACCTTCTTAAAAATAAATTTTTACTAATTTATAAATTTTATTAATTTAAATTTTTTCTTTTTTTTTTTTTACAAAGATTTCCTTTTTGGAAAATCCACCAATCCACTGCATGGGCTTCCACAGTTTAGGGTGACATCAGTTCATCCTTTTTTGTTCTTAGATGTCTCCTCATAAGTGATAAACTAGCTCACTGCCTATGTTAAGTGTGATATAATGTTTATTCTGAAACGTTAACTTGGCTAAACCAGGCTGATTTCTGTCGTTCAATTTGAATTCTACATAGATAATCATCTGGAAAGGCTCCTGTTGAAAGTGCTGGTGAATATTCTCATCCAGGTCATATTTATTACAAAAAAGTAAAAAAATAAATACAATCCACTGGACTTTGTTTCCAAGTTTGAAGATGCTTCCTCTTCCCATCCAGGAAGCTTTTTTAATTCAAAATGTCAGAAATGGCGGCGATTTCGAGGCTTTATCGAATGGAGCAAAAACGGTTGGTTCCTGTTGAAAGTGTTCGCAAAACGGAGGGACAATTTTTTTAAGGCTGATTGGGTAAATCACCAAGAGACGCCTGTCTCCCGTGTTGAGTTTTTAGCCAATCACAGCAGCAGTAGTTTGATTTGTTTCTAAACTAGCCAAGTTAACTGATAAATCAAACTCTGATGCTATGTTCAGACCGCAAGGAGCACAAAAACATACGTGCTGCTTCATTTTCGATGCTTGTACAAGTTTAGTGTTGACGCGCGGCTGAAGCAGCTTTGCTGCTCTGGGTGCACGGTGGAAAAGTGGGTCTGAGGCCCATAGGGCGGAGCTACCCTATCATCTCTTTACCTGTACCAGTGGCAGCTATATTTGCTGTGATCAGTGGGCAAAAAGTAGTTTCAATATGTTTTTCAGTGAGAAGGTCCACCTGAAAACGTAATCTGTGCAGTCAGTTCATCCAGATTACCATCCTGTCTTCAAATATTATTTCGCTGTCGGAGCCGCTCAGACCCGCACATACAGGCGGTGCGCTGTCATTAGGAATCCCATTCAACAGCAGCCTATGCCTCGGTCGCCTCTGGTTTTTCATGTGCGTAATCCACACTGCAGGCACCAGGATAATAAAAGCGAACATGTTTTGCTGGCAGATTTCGGCGTTTTAAGTTCATTTAGGTGTTAATAAACTGTTTCAGAGGAGTGATCATAGTGATCTGTATCATCAGCGATGTGTCTGTCTCCCTTCCAGCTTCCAGATCAGCTTCTCTGATTAGTTCAAGTGGCGCGTCGAGCAGCAGAAGTTCAATTTTTCTAACTCCAGCAGCTGCTGCGTTTGCAGCCTCAGAGGCCTTCAGCTGCTCAAAACGCGCTGCGGGACGTTTTGCTGCGTCTTGATGCTCGTCAACCATTGACTTTGCATGTAAACGAGCTGCTCCTGCTGCATTTGCTGCTTTAGGTGTGAACATCCCACCCAAAAAAGAAAAAAAAAATTTGGGGGCTTTATTAATTCATAAATCTCCCAACAATCCATCTTGCTTAAGCTCATAAGTGAAACGTGATTGTTTTAAAACATTTTTTTTTCAGCCAAATATCACTGCCCTTTGACATATTAACGTCACCTCCCACAGGGGATGATTGAAATTAGTTAGTTTTTGAAAGCAATAATTGTCATTTATCATTTTTATTGTAAAACATGAAAGAAAAAAAGTATTTGGTATAAAAACAAATAGATTAGATTTTCAAGCCATACCTTCAAGCCCTAACTTAAGGTAGCTATTTAAAGAAAATATCTAGAATATAATCCTTTACATACATGAAACTACAACTTTTTTCCATAAAGGATGATGTGCCATTTGCAATTTTATTGGATTTCATAATTAGAGTTTTTTTCAATATTCCTAATATTTATTTAGAAATATCGATGTATTAAAAGCGTCTCATTTTAGATAAATAAAATAAAAGATAATTGGTTGATTAATTGATTACTAAAATACCAAATAGATCTAGCCCTAGAAATGGGTAAGTTCATTCCATCTTAAAAATGGTTTCAGACAAGGATAGACCGACAACGATATTTTTTGCTGATTATTATACATTTTTTTTTAATACCCGCATCAGCCTTATACATGTCTGTTATCCATTCCCTGATTTATTCAGCAGCCATGCATTGCTAGTCCCTCCATTAGCTATCCATTGTTCATGTTATTTAATAACCACCCATCAGTCCATACATGCACAATCTTGACATCCTTAAAACCAAGTGTTTTGTTTTTGATTAAAACCTTTTTTCTATATTCTATATTTTCTAAAGTGATTGGTTGATGCCTAATAAGAGACAATAAATGGAAATTGGCACCAAAGAAGCTGTTGGAACAACTTCTTTGGGTTATTTTAGCAGGTCGCCATTTGGTGCAGATTTATAATTGACAAATAAACCCATACAGATTCAGGCATGGCATTTTAGAGCATTCAGTTTACCAAATAAGCATCTTTGGAAAAGCAGATGAGAACAATGCAACACAAACTCCATAACAGTTGCAACTGCTTTTATTTAATATTTGGGTCTATACCCACTATACCCACAACTTTAAGTACAACGATACTCAATTAAATGCAATGATAAGTAGGGATGCACGATATAAACGGCCCCCAATCGGTATCGGCCTTAAAACTAAATATCGGACATCGGCCACCCCACCGATATTTAACCCGATATTTGATCAGCTTCTGAATTTCTAAAGACAAAAAAAAATAAAATAAAATACTACTTCTTCTTCTTCCTCAAAAACGTCTTTTTTACAGACTTAAAAACTTCTAAAGATGAGGGAAAAAATATTGATACATTAAAATATCCCAATATCTTCATATGCTGATATATTGCCATTTAAAAACACCATATCAATCTCTTTACTAATGAAATATTGCTATATGTCATCGTTATGCTACGAAATCCCCCGA